CTGCCTGCTTCGACTCTGCCTCCGTCTATCTCTCACTGTATAGCGCACTTATATACGATAACACTGCCTGTTCTAGAAACTCTCAACACGTGCTACCAGCGTCACTTGACTTCCGCTGTCGTAACACACTAGCGAATCTTCTAGAATACTCGTCACGTGGCCCCCACTGTCATAACAGTATTTTTATTGTCCTATACTAACACCATAACCAAAAGTCCAAAAATTTCAACTAAACCACAGTAATGTTATGCAAAAACAATTCTGACCACATCATGGGCTCTCCATTTCATAATCTTAGAACAACTTTTTTACTTCAAGTTTTGTCAAGAGGCATTGATATATTATAGGCAATTTTAAGTATGGTTTTCAAGAAATTAATAAAGGGTTATTAATTACCTATATGGGATTAAATCAGATTCATCAACCATTTCATTGTGAATAGCATTGCAGTTAGTAATATCAGCAGTATGATTGATGAAAATACATATACTGTTGTTCATGTATGTATGTAGCTTCTTTCTCTTTCAGTCTGATTTGTCACCAGTATGTTTTAGCTGACAGCTTATTCGGACTTGATACATTTTTAGAATAACAAGAAAAACTTTTCAGAGTATTATCATTTTATTGTACTTATTTTAAACATTTTTATAAAAATTACATATACATCATTTTGTGATTTGTTAAAAATATGTTTATAATGTGATGCTATACATTACGTTATCAGGGGAATTATTTATAATACATACCACCCAGTAATGAGGAATGATATTTACAAAAATATTTTTAGTCTCCAAAAACCGTTTGTTCTTATCAACATTTACCTGTGGATATTACCTTTTTTTTATTTTGATAAATTTATGATATCCATTTTTTGTTTATAGGAATTTGAAAGGTCAAGAGCATTTGCCTTTCTCAATGAGATCAGACAAAGGTATAGTAGTTTTATGGTTTCACTTTGAAAAATTCATTATAAAGCACACTTGGTATATCTTTAAATCATAACACACTAATCTTTAAATGTAGTTACCTATTTTAAAGGTTGAAGTTTGAATATGAATAGCAACTTGAATTTGAGAATGTTAAATAGTGTTGTGGCAAATATTGTAAACTAAGTAGCAGGATTGTAAATAATAGTACTTACAAAAAAATACTTGCCCCCCAGTGACACAGCGGTATGTCTGCGGACTTACAATGGTAGAATCTGGGTTTAGATACCAGTGGTGGTATCTAAAGCACAGATAGCCCATTGTGTAGCTTTTTGCTTAATTTCAAACAAACAAACAAAACAAAATTTTTTTGTTTTGCCTCAAGAAGAGTATTTGATTTGTTTTAAAAGTTTTTTGAAAAATGCATAGTACACTTTTAACTATAGCTCTACTATCTTTTGTGTAGGCTTAGTTACATTATCAGAGTCGTTTTGCACACAGATACTTATTTCAATATTTGTATTTTTAAGTATATTTACCTTTCTGTTGCCATTTTCATGTATGTGTAAAACAAAAATAACTTGCAGGAAGATTCATGTAAAGAACATTTTTAGGTCTTTGTGTTCATTACTAAACATCAGTAAATTTATTTAAAATTAAATTGTCTTAATATTATTGATGTTGACTTCTGTTACTTGTAGTATTTCCAGCGTGCAAGTGTGATTAAAATAAGCTTGTGGTATTTTCAGGTAAAAACTGATTTCCTGATAAGTGTCAGATATATAGACCTAAAATTAGAAGATTTGCTCAGGAAGTAAGAAGAGTAATTCTGAAATTGATAACTAAGTTTTACTAGTGTTTATGAAATAAAGAGTCTGGACAATTGTAGTAAGATGATTAGAATATATATTAAGAAACAAAACGAAAATGCAGCATACTTAATTATACAGAGAGAACCATAGTCACCTCTACTGGATTGTGCTTAGCTCTACAGCTTTATTTTTCTCAGGAAAGACTTCAATCAAACTGAACACAATGATCTTAAAGTAAATTTTTGCTCAAAGAACTCCAGGTAAAGCTGAACTAAGAAAGTGCATGTCAGTTCAACACATAAGGTTGATTTCTTTGTTCAGTTGACAGTGTCACGTCATGACTTATGTTCTCTCAAAGCAACGTCAACTTGTTCAGGAAAGGGTATTACAGTGCTAATCTTATCAATCTGGATGTTACAATACTGCATTATCCTCTTGGGCAGAATAAGCATTATCTACTATAGAGAACAAAGCAACTAGAACTAAGCAGCATAACATCTGTTAAGAGTTAAAAGAGCTTTTCATCCTTGTATTCATGTTGTTTCTGTCTCTCAATAACTTGGAAAGAAACAGAATGGCAGTCATATGCTGGAGTTGTAGATGTTTTACAAACACACAAACTTTAGTCTATATATTTGTGAGTAGGGAGTCCCTCATTTGTTTGGAGGTTTAATTTTGCATTTCATATTTAAAGATATATTACATCCATTCCAAGAATAATAAGTTCATGTTTTAGTGTTATTAGCCTTAACAAGTAATGCATACCTCGGTGTGGCAAAATTTCCTGATATATTACCAATTTCTGCGGAACATTAACTGTGGAATTTGAACACTGAAATAGGGCATTTAGTATTAAAATAGAACAGCGAAAAATATTTTCAAGGGTGTTTTTATTTTTTTAGGCATAAATACTCAAACTTTTATGATCGTTTGAAAATTGCAATTTTGGCTACATTTTTCCGTAAAAGTGCACCCTTTTCCAGGACGTTTTTCTCTTTATTTTCTTGTTCTTTTGCTTTTTCCTTCTTACTTTTATGAAAATAAATGACAATACATGCAAATAAATGACAATTCTGTTATGATTTTGTTGTTTTTGGGATGAATACTTATGATGACCTTCAAACAAGTATAGAATTCATAATGAAACACCTTCTTGGGCTTCTTCTTCAGCTGCTTGCCTTTCTTTCTTTTTTTTCTGTTTGATTTGGCTGATCTTGCTTTTTATTTTCTTCAATGAGGTTTACCTCCTTTATCATCTTGTATTTTTCTAGGACTACTGCAAAGCATGCCTTTGTTGCATTGTTTTAATTTGCATCAAGAATACGGTTTTAGCTCTGTTACGTTATGAGAGAATCAATGTAAAAAAGTTTAGCCAATTATCTATTTTTCTGGCTTAAATACCCCCGTGGGACTGAGAACAAATTTGTATCCCGGAGGTATGCATAACATGTTGAAATATAAACCTTTAGACTTAAGAAAATAAAAGCTTGTAATTTTACGTATTTGAAAATAATCTAACTTTGTTTGTTTATTAATAAGCACAATGTTACACAATGGGTTATCTTTGCTGTTCCCACCATGAGTATAGAACCTCACTGTTTAGAATTATTAGCCCTCAGGGCCATTACAAAACATAAAAGAAAAATTATTGTAAGTCTTAACCAGAGTGAAGTATAACAATGTGAAATGAATAATTTTTATTCCCCCCTCGACAAAGGTTTAAGACAACATATGGAGCTCGAGCACAAACAGCCCTTCCTTATGCTATGAATAGCGAGTTTTCTCGGGCTCTTGCTAATCAAATGGTAAGTTGTAACACTTATAATATGAAGGTGTTCTGATTTTAATGCATCAGTATAACTAAATAAAGTTTCGAGTATTTATATTTTAGATGTTTATGTGCTAGAGAACTTTTCTGTAGGTGGCATTTACATCTGATTTAGTTTGTTGCAAAAATGTATATATCAGAAACTGCAGTGTTTTGTGTAACAGACATTCTTGACTTGGAGGTGAAAGATATAATTTACAAAAACAGAACTAAGAGAAAACACAGTTCATAAAACCAAATTATGTAAGCTTATCTTATCCTGTTGTAGTAGTAGTTGCACTTTTCAGTTTGTTTTTCAAATAAAAATCACCTGTATTTGTATTAGGAAAGTGGCTTTAATGAGAAATGTAACATTCAATTTTGGTTGATTTCTTTGCTGTGTCTTATAATACAGAAATATTATTCAGACAGCAGAGATGTGGATACAGTTTCTAAAGTGCAGGGTGAACTGGATGATTTAAAAAATATCATGATAAAAAATATTGGTAAGTCTCTAATTCCTTTTATAGATTTTTTTATAACCAAAGCGCATTATTTGCTTTCATCTTCTGAAATTATTTATCAAAATTTCATGCACCATATGTTTCTTTGGTTAGAGTGAAACATTAGTATTTTAATATAATGTAAAAAGAAACAAATCTGTGGTTAAGTTTAGTACAACTGTGGTGAATATAAATACGTAAAGCAAAGCTTTATTTAGAAAGAAATCAGACATTATGAAACTCTGAATATTGAACTTGATTTATATTGATATTTTTTCACTTAATCATCATTTATTAACCAAGTTTATATATTGTCATTTATGGATATCTGTTTCATCAAGAGAACAAGGGTCTGTATAGTTGTATGTTTTTAACTTAAACCTGTTTCTTTCCACATAGTTTCAGTTTTATTTCCTAGAGAATAATCTTCAAGTACTGTCCAATCTTAAATAGGAAAATAGACTTGATAGCATTTCATTTTTTTCTAAATAGTTATTATTTCTTAACCATTTCTTAACTCTTTTGCAATGGCCATCCTTTTTTGTGCATGTCACAAGGTTTCTAGTGACTTACATTAAATCTTTAATTAAACTAATTTTTGTTTATGTTATACAAATTAGTACAGCATAAAATCCTAGCTAATAATCCATATTTTAATAGTATACAAGTTTCAAGTTCTTGATTTTATAAGTCAAGATAAAAAAATCCTGAATTTCCTCTAATGTGAGAAATGTGACATTTTCCTTTAGGCAACCTCTTTTCTGTAATTTATTCACCACCCCTCCAATAAGTATGAAATTTAACGTAAATTACTCACTATCCAATCTTCATTGCCCAGACAAAACATAAATATTATAGCCTTCAATCTTGTTTAGTCATGAAGCCATCAAATAGAAAATTGGACCCCTCTTGACACACCCACCTGTCATATCCTCTCTTTCAGGATTTGTTAATAGTTCTCTCTTATGTTTAATATTATATTATTTATGACCAATAGAAAGCCAAGGTTTTCATCTATCAATTGACTTATTATATTACGCTTTTTTCTGAACAGAGAATTGTCAATTTCTCTTTTAGTAGAATCTTAATTCCCAGGGGAAAGATATCAACTAGAGTGGATGAACTGGTAACAATTCTTGTTGCATATTAAGAAAGCCAGAAAAATTGAGATACTTATTGGACATTGTCTGCTTTTTGCATTTATTGTTCTATGTTCTTTGGTACATTATTTAAATAAATAAAAATCATTTAGTACATTACTACTATTAGTATAAAAAAGTAGGGTTAAGTGTCCTCTGCAGTTGACAGCAAAAAAAATAGAAGAGCTGGGTAAGTACTTTATTTCTTGTTTTTCCTGTGAATTATTTATTTATTATTATAAGAGTAACTAAAATGTAAAAATAGGAATCTCTTTAGGTTAGTTAAAGCTAGATTAGGTAGGATAAATAATAATAATATAATAAAAATGTTTCATGAGGCATGCACGCGACCAGCTTAGTGTAGCTGATGGGTAATGTAATTCGATAGTATAGCATGAGCTCCACATTACCAAAGTGATTTACAACTTATAATGGCATGAATAGTAGTTAGACACTATTCAAAAAGCAATAAAACAATAATGTGTAAGTATAAATAGATGTATACTGTTTTTAGTTTAAAGCTACTTAGTATAAACGAATGTAGTTTCATGTTGTAATTTGAAGTCATTCTAGAAGGGAAACAAGGGTAATTTAGATTTACTTCGATATATATATATATATATATTTTTTTTTTGTTTATAAGGTTGGTCAAATTGACTAACCTTGTAGAGTTAGGGTAGAGAAAATAACAGTTAAAAATATAAAGTTTTACTGAAAACAAACATTGGAAATGTATTTAGGAGATTTTAGAGATTGTGCAAATGAAATTTGAGATTTTTGAGAGGAAGAAAAGTGTTTTCCGAAATAGCACTTACCTCCCTCTCAAGATTAGTACCCCCCAGTGTCACAGTTGTATGTCTGCGGACTTACAATGCTAGAAACCGGGTTTTTATGCCTGTGGTGGGCAGAGCACAGATAGCCCATTGTGTAGCTTTCTACCTAACCTCAAAACAACAAACACAAAATTAGCTATTCTCGTTCAGTGCTTCCCTCCATGTCTTCTCTTAACCAATAGTAGCCTGACATGCTCACATGAAGCATGTGATTCCCTCTGCACTCCTCTACTGAACCTTCACTTCTCGTTTGGCAGCGTTCGAGTTCAGACTTTTTTTTTTTATACTAGTGCTACATTGTGATGATGGAACATTTTTTTTCCTGCCAAAAGTAGTTTCTTTTTTCCAAATTTTTATTCTACTAGAAACCAGTTCAATTTGTCACTATCTATTTCGGCAAAACATTTGTGAGTTCTGTTTTGCTTTATGAATTTCAAAGTTTGCATTACCACTTCAGGTGTCACACCTACAACAAATGTTTTTCTTAGGCCACAGGTGCAGATCACCCAACAGTAGATCTTTCTGTTTTTATATGTCAGGAGATTGAATGCTACGTGGGTCAACCTTTGTCCCCTGACATCGCCCATGCTCCTCCTGAATCAACGGAAATTCTACAGAATGACGAGAATTTTGATCCTCTTTTCCCACCACCAGAGTTTGCTGTTTCTTCCCACTTGCTACCTGAGGAATAATCTAAGCCTTATTCGGTCTTCACGGATTTTGTGTGTCAGGTTTGTGATGTTTTATACCTTTCCCCTATATCTTATTTCCTCAACCTTCCTTATTACATGAAACCTCTTCTCAACCATTTTGTTTTTTCCTCCCTCCCCAGGTATTATGGTACACTTTGTCTCTCAATTAAGTGACGGGATCAGCATGCCGCACCCCCCCAAGGCTCTTGGATCAGCACGATATTTCTTACCATTGTGCTGATTATCCATATTTGGATCAGGAGTTATTGGGTTTGTTGTTACCTCTTTAGGGGAGGGACTCCCAATTATAATGTTAGTCTTACCCATACCCAATATTCTTCCTTCATCTTATATTAACCACCCTTCTATGTTATCTTTCTTCCATACATCTCCTCTCTGATTCATTCCACAGAAATCGTGAGGGGTTTTATGCAGATACCCTGCACATTTTTTCCTCTGCTCTAGCATTACACACATGGTTTCTCTCCTGATGGGAACATATTGGTAGTGATGCTGTATTTGCCTGGGTCAGTTTACCCTCTCTATATCTACAGGACTTACGTCTTGCTCTGTTTATGCAACATCATGTCTTTGGTACTGTCCCAAACACTATTGACTCTCGGGTTACATCAGCTTGTCAGCAATCCACCCTCACACCCTTTGTCTCAGTCAGAGCCTCATATCCCATCTTCCATCCTTCATCTTCCCAACCCTTACCTGTTCCTGCTAGTCAGGGTACTTTTTTCATTGATTTCCTTGATAATGAAACATCCATCACCAACAGTACCGGTGACTACCCTGTGGGTTCGGGGCCAGTAGGAGCTCGACTGTTGGACTTTCTTCTTCCCTGACATCCCTTCATCTAGGATCAGTTGGTGATATGGGTTCTGTCAGAAGGATTCATTCTCCAGTTTTTCTCCCCTCCTCCTCTCTCTCCTTGGCCCATTTCCTTTCCTCTTCCTTCAGATCCCATGTTGTGCCAGCATCTGTAGAGGTAGTTTGGGAACTGCTTGAGTTTTTATTCCCATTTTTTCATGGTCCCCAAGAAAACTGGGGATTGGCAGCTGGTTAGTGATTAATCTCACCTCAACCATTTCATCACATTTCCCAAGTTTACCATAAAGTATTTTCTTCCCTGAGATGGGTATTTATGCTGAGATTGTGGAATGACGAAAATGGATGTCTCCAATACCTACTTTCATATCCTGATTGCCCAGCAGTCTCAAACTTATCTTTGATTTGTCCATCTCGGTGTGGTTAACCAATTTCAAGTCCTTCCCCTTGGTCTCACATTGGCTCTTAATGTGTTTTATTGCATCATTTGGGCATTTGCTAGTCATCTTCATGATCTGGGGATGCAATTTCATTATTACATGGATGACGGGCTCCTGCTTGCTCATTCCAAACAAGAAATGAACATTCATACCCACCAACTCGTTTCTATGGCACTTTGAGCAGGCTAGTTGATCAAACTAGAGAAGTCGTTCCTTCAACCTACACAATACCTGGACCATCTAGGGGTCTTTTTCTACACCAATATCAGCCAGGCCATGCCTTCTCCTTTACATCTTTGGTTCATGGAACTTTTAGTTCACCGAGCCCTCTTGACTTGGTCACTTACTGCTCACAGGGTTCTGTTGAGGATGTGGTCCTCCATGACTGCACTTATCCATCTTGGTCATGCCCACGAGATCCCTGCAATGGGGGCTTTATGACAGATGGAACCTTGCTCGAGATTCTCTTTCCACCACCATCTCCCTTCCTGCGAGACGATCTGCACTGGATGCTAGACAAAGCTAATATGTCGATGGGCGTGCCACTTCTTCCCCAAAGGCTAGATCTACATTTGCTCACAGATGCATCCCTTTAAGGTTGGGGGACATGGATCAATCACCAGGAAGCTTCTGGCTATTGGTCTCCAGACAAAGAGATAACGCATGATGATTTGCATGAGAGACATGATATTTCCAAAAGTGGGAGATGCGCTAGGCTTTAAGCATGTGTTATGAAAAGTTTGCTTATAGAGGGCAGCACTAAACAAGTAAGTACCTATTGGAAATACATTTTCAGTATAGGAAAATTATAACTTTAATTTTAACATGAAAATCACTTTGCACTCAGACTAGTAAAAAAAAAGACGATATATTCACAAACAAATCTTTTATTAAAAATACTTCACTAAAAATTCTGATTTGTTACATGTGAAAGACATAATATATACTGAAAGTCTGCCAAATTTTGTGAAGATATATATATATACTATATTAAAAGTCAGTAGTATCAAAATTAAAACGACTTTAACTCTTTCAGCACGGGCTCGGTCCCTTGTAACCATTTTGTGCTTGTTATAGTTCTCGTGCTATAATTTTTAAATTAATAAGTGAATGTTAACGAAATTTCGCAGATTATTAGTAGACATTACAATGCTTTCATACACAAAATATGAATTTTTTTTTATTAAGTCTTAAGGTTTATAAAACAATGTTTTCTCATGTCTATTTTTTCTTTTCACATGTTGCCTATCTATCATGCAAAGTAATATTCGTTTGAAGATTAAAAATACTTTTATGCATCAGAAAATTTTGAAATTTCACATGCAATATCTTTATAATATCCAGATAGTTATCAAATGTTTCTTAAGAAAAACTATATTTTATCTTTTATTTTCAGTAATTAATCTCTGTATGGGTTCGGTAGATTTGACCGATCTCACAACCACCATAAGAAATTAGAAAATAAATATAAATTTAGCTTTTTTCATTCTAGAGTGAACACAAATGTTTAGACTAAATAGCTTAAATATCATAACACTATACATTTATATATATTTATTATAATGATCTTTCAGCTGTGTCTGGCTAGCAATACAGATGTTACAATGATGCACCTCATGTGCACTC